AGTTCACAATTATTATTATTATTATTATTATTATTATTATTATATATATATATATATATATATTATTTTTTACAATTTTCTAGTTCGCAATTCGAGATGACGGTAGTGATAGGAAGTGTTTTATGTGATTCATCATGAATTCCAGGTGGTCATCATTCTTCTTGTCTTGACTTTATATGGGTTTGACTAAAAACTAGTCTAATGTCTAAGGCTCCCTTTACTTTAGGGTCGAAAATAGTGACATCTCTGTGTTACAATACAACAATATTACTATTATGCCAAGTCGAGCCCTCAAAACACACTCCCGAAACATTAAAATTGTCGGTCTTCACTGTGATTGCATGAGATAATTTTTCATTGAGTCTGCACCAACTTTCCTTAGATGATCTCTCACTTTCCTGCTTAATTTTAAATTTTGTCTTTGTGAAAATTTTGTCAATATTTAAAAATAAAAGAAATTTAGTTCAAACTCCCAATCAACATTCATGTTTTTTATATACTAACAATTAACTTAAAAGAAGCTATTTCTCAAATACGAACAAATGGCCCAGCGGTATCACCCTTTTCTTTCTAAAGAGGAGGTCGGGGGTTCAAACCACGGTATGCGTATTTACTTTAACTAATATACGAGGTCAATTCTACTTATCATATGTTGACATCAATTAAAATTCAAGCAATTAATTTTTTCAAAAAATATGACTTAACCAGCATGTAAATTTCAAATCAAAATTTAGAGACGCATAATCACTTGTTGAATATGATTGAATCTCGTTTGTATATATACAAGACACAAATACAGTTTGGTTTTAGTATTTTCTTTGTAAAAAATAATTATAAAAAAGAAAAAACCTTGCACATTGCATGAGGTTGTCCCAAGACTCCCAATGGTTAGATAGGTGAGTGCAACTGTAAAAAGTTGTCGGAATATTGTCATTGCAAAAACCACTTTACATATTAGTTTTTTTCGTGACCCAAAAAAAAAAAAAAATTCTGATTATATACATGAAAAAGAAAAGAAAAGAAATTTGGGACGTTTGCAAAATCAGTTAATCATAAAGTTTAGAAAACAGCTTTTCGCGCCAAGGGAAGTTGTGAATTTACTAATCAGTCCCATAATAGAAAAGGGAAACCAACTTCTCTAACTGAAATAACGGTCAATCAACTGTTGTCAAATATGCAACCCAAAATTTAAAGGGTCACAGCCCATCCAGTGCTCCTCAAGCTCCACCACGATAATGCACAGAGACACACATGAGCATCAAAACATGGAAGTGGTGTATGTCTTTAGCACAACGCTGCACCAAAATGGCCCAACTCAAGGCCATCCAAGCCATCTTCATCACGCACGGCCTCCACCACAACAACTATGCCATCAGCAAGCTCCTCGAGTTTTGCGCCCTCTCCGACTCCGGCAGTCTCTCCTACGCCTCCCTCATCTTCACCCAAATCCATTCCCCCAATTCATTTATCTACAACACTCTCATCAGAGCCTATTCTCGCAGTTCTCAGCCCTACTTGGCTCTGCATTACTTCCATCTCATGTTGCGCAACGACTCTCCGTGTCCCGATCACCACACGTTTCCGTTCGTTCTCATTGCTTGTGCTAACGCATCGCGGGTGTTTCTGGGTAGGCAAATCCACAATTGGGTGGTTAAAAATGGTTTGGCTTTGTCGGATGGTCATGTACGGACCGCATTAATCAGGTTTTATGTTGAGTGTAAAGCTTTGGATGATGCCCGGAAGGTGTTTGATGAAATATCTAACTTAGATGTTGTTCAGTGTAACGTTCTTATAAGTGGGTATCTACAATTTGGTTTGGCTTCGGAGGCATTGAATGTTTTTCGGGATATGATGTTGTGTGAAGTAATGCCTGATGAATTTTGTGCGACTACTGGGCTTACGGCTTGTGCTCGTTTAGGGGCTCTTAAGCAAGGGAGGTGGATTCATGAGTATGTTAAGAAGAGGAAGGGGCTGGAATCAGATGTGTTTGTTGGAACAGCACTTGTTGATATGTATGCCAAGTGTGGGTGCATTGACATGGCTTTGGAGGTTTTTGAACGGATGCCTAAAAGGAATGTGTTTTCGTGGGCGGCAATAATTGGAGGATTTGCTGTTTATGGGTATGCAAGAGAAGCAATTCATTTCTTGGAGAGGATGCAGGTGGAAGACAGGCTTAGGCCTGATGGGATTGTCCTTCTTGGGGTTTTTGTACACATGCAGGGCTTCAAAAAGAAGGTCAATTTATTTTAGACAACATGGAAATTGAATATGGTGTTTTACCTCAACATGAGCATTATAGTTGCATGGTGGACTTGCTCTGCAGGGCAGGTCAATTAGATGCAGCACTTCATCTCATAAAAAAGATGCCTATGAAAGCTCTTGCTTCTGTCTGGGGTGCCTTATTGAGTGGTTGCCGAATCCATAATAACGTTGATCTCGCAGAGCTTGCTGTCAAAGAGCTTCTATTGATAGTAACTGATGATAGAGCTGAAGCCGATGGAATTTATGTTCAGTTATCAAACATTTATTTAGCTGCACAAAGGTGTGAAGATGCAGGTCGGATACGCATGATAATTAGTAATAAAGGGCTCAAGAAAACACCAGGATGCAGTACAATAGAAGTCGATGGGGAGGTAAATGAATTTGTCTCGGGAGATGTCTCACACCCATACAGAGCACAAATACATGCTATGCTTGATCTAATGTCCCTCGACTTAATTCACCACCCTTCGGAGGATCTGAATATCTACTGCAGCAAGAATTGCAACTTACAACTTCGTTCACTATTGCAAAGCAGTTAATGGCTTGTGTAAGTTCTCTGAAGAAGTGCTTGACCAATGGACCTTAAAAGCTTGTCTTGCCATATGTCAGTTATTCTTTCGCTATCAACTTCCACCAATGATGCACAGATCGCTATTGTATCATGAACTTGAACTGTTAGTCTTGGCACTAAATCATTGGGATGAAGCAACAGAGGTACTTAATTTGTTCCTTCGAAGAATTCTGCTACACATGCTCTAGAAACTATTCATATTTTTACCAACATTTTTTGGTGCATTGACCACTTGAGCAGAGAGCTAAAATAAAATATTTTCATTGCAGCTTCATTTCATTATTGTCTTCCCCAAAAGCATGGCCTGCTTTTGGTGACATGTTTCAATAGTACAAGTTCACCCACAAACTACTATGTCACACTTACACAGATGAATTATCTGCTATAATATCTCTAGTTGAAAATATTTGATAGTTCATGCTGCTCTATGTTCTAGTCATCTGTTCTTCAATTAGAACCATTTGAACTTTTTTTTTCTTAAATATTTTTTGTTGTCGATAGCTTCACCCTTGTAGTCCCCAAGTGTTGCTTTGCAACATGTCAAAAAAGGTTAGCAGCCTGCATAGAGAATGTCGTGTATGTAAATAAACAGGGATAATTTTGGGTATCAATTTGGAATCAATCTAGTCGGAATGTCTTAACTTTCCAAATTCTGAAAATTCCAAGATATTCCATTAGAACACAACAAAAATTAATGAATAAAGAAGTAAAAATATTGGTTCTAATTTCAAATCTTGAAAAAAGATGTTAAGAATTTACTTGAAAATTTGAGTTTGTTCAGCTAAAGAGGTATACTGCCTAGTCCTAACCTGACAAATGAATAATGGTGTCCCTTCACAATATTGGGTGAGAGGCTATAGGGATGGAAACATGTTTCTGGAGCTGGAATGAAGAGTTCCAATGCTGATTATCCTTCAAAAGGAAATTCTGTCATTGTCCGCAAGGCCTGATGATGGTATAATATATGTGCACTCGATGAGGCCTGCACTATATATTGTCTTCGAAAATTTCTTGCCTGCATGTTATTCCTTTGGATGTGGTCGTTCCCCCAACGACCATAGTTCACTAGATATGCATGTATTTTGTTCCTCAAGCTGTTGTATGAATATGTGCTCAAAGCCACAGTGGAGATGGACAATTTTCAATTTTTTTTTTTTTAATTTCTATTTCCATAATTTGCACTTCTCTGTAGAATACTAGTGACACGGGACAAATATTGTTTAGATACCGAACTGAAATAGAATCAGAAAGAAAGTAGGGAATGAGAATGAGAAGATGAGATGAGGTTAGATGAAAGATGTGAGAAGACAGATGAAGGGGATGAGAAGATAGATTGAAGGGGTAAGCTGGAAAGACTGAGGGATTGAGAGAAGCATGAACATTAGGGAGAAGAAGAGGGAGAGTTCTAAAACTCACAATATTATTCAACAATCCAAAGCTGAAAAACTTTGTTACATTTCTGCCTTTATATAGGCAAAATTATTACCAAACACTAAAAACCCTAAAAATAGGAAAATAATGAAAAACAACCTAAAACTGAACTACCAAAAATAATAATAGGCATAAGTAAAAAACCTTAATTTACATCAATTCCTAATTTCATTTATCTTTGCCCCCTCTCCAAAAGTAGAGGCGGAACACGTGCCACTCATCCATTGAAAATATCCATTAAAAATCATAGCTCATTCTCCATCAACTAGTTTGTCTTTAGATCGCTCCTGATAATATTCATTTCTTTCTTCCACCTTTTTTTTCCAGTACACATGTTCTTCCCTCTGACCGAAGTAATCTATAAATTGGGAAAATAAAAGAAACAGTGCATTTATGTCATAGTTGAAGCACAATGCTCAAGTCTCTCTGCCAAGAATGTCAAATGAATTGGAGAACTTGGACATAAGATACCTTGTCCCTGTACATTTTGTAACTCTTTCCAAATTCATAGATTCAACACCTATCAGCAATATCTACATTTTCTTCTGGAAAAATAAATGAAGATTTGTGCTAACTCCAATATGCTGTTTCCATTATTTTAACAGCCAAAATGCAAAGCCTTATCCAGCTCAAATGCCATATCAATAACCAGCATTTTCAACGAGGGTGAAAGGTTAAATTTTCTCCTCGGTGAGGTAATCTCTGTATTAGTCTTTCTAAGCCAAAGAATTCAAAATTGAGTGTTGAAAACTTTTAAAAATAAATAAATAAAAAGACAGTTTTTCAATATATACAGCCTGTTGACAATCAAAAAATTTATCATAATCAAACACTAACTGAGAAAAATATAGATTACATTCACCATGTCCCATATAGATTGATATGGGAATCTGATATAAGAAGCTGCAGTGGTATTATCTCTGGGTAGGAACAGTTTGCTGAATCCCTGCAATGACTAAAGAAAGCCATCACAGTTTGAGTGCTCAATGTGATGATACTGCTCTCACTAGTTGATCAAATGATGAAGCACAATCACTCCAAGTATGATCGACTTTGAAGTACAGGTAGGGCAAGGAGATTGAAGTAGGTTGCTATGGCTCGGGCCAGTGTTGGAACACTTTTGCTGTTGCCAGGTTCATGTTGAAGGAGTCTCTGGACAAAAATCTTTTGCCACTGGTAATAAAAAAGCACAGACAAGATCAGCTTTTTAAACCAACAAATACTAACAAAGTGGAAGACATATGATTCAAGATCAACTTGACAATTTCAAAAGATGCAAAAAGTTGAGGTGACAAAGGGGCTGTACAGTAAAAACAACATCATATGCTGAAGGAGACAAGAGAGAAGGATGAAGAGATAAAATATAGGAAGTGCTAAACTCATGGCAACAAAGCTTCAAACTCTGATGATCAGCAAAGCCGCCCTTATTGTTGGGTTTTTGACTTGTTGACACAAGGGTAATTTTCCACGTGGTCGTATCCTTAGCAGGACATCACGGTACTATATTGCATAGTACGACTCACAGCACACACGTGTGATCACGCACACGTTTGTACATTGTAACCTGTCCGATGCAGTATTGTACTGCATTAGACGACTCACAGTGCACATACGTGTGATCGTGCTTGCGTTTGTGCATTGTGAGCCATCTGATGCAATACAAACTGTACTGCATTTGATCTCAACACAATTTTTCACACATATTTAGCTCAGTTGCGCATAACATTTTAAAAAATATGGCAGTGTTCCTTTAGAAATTTTTGAAGATGCAATCTTGAACACCAACACAGGCCAATCCCTTTGGTGCCACCCCTTTACTATTATAGTATTGTTATAGGTAGGAGATAATGAAAGATCATGATCAAGTATAGTGTTTTAGACAATACCATTCAAACCTAATAGTTTAACCAAAAAGGTTAGTCAAGGAATTTCTAACATCAAGAAAGTCGAAAAAAATTGACCTTGTGAAGAAGGAGGGACTACGACCACACGCAAGGTTGCATTGTTAGGAGGAAGAGCTAAACGAAGGGGATAGAGCTGTCCATTCAATGGATTGCGATTACACAATATTATTTTCTCCAAACCCGTCTCTTCCTCCAACTTTTGAGTCAATTCTGCCAATCCATGGCCCTTGAAATTGAGCGAAAGCTCTTCTTTTCCATCAGCAACATCTCCATTGTCATCAACAACACTGTAATGAACAATCCGGCCTTCAGACTTCACCGGTGAACCACTAAACGAATCGCCTGACTGCATAGCAAGAGACACAATAGCCCAAATACCCATTTCAATTTCAATAACATCACCCACCTAATAAAAGCTGGTATCAAAATTCAAACCAAAGAAAATGCAAATAAACCTCAAGTCTGGACATTCTAGGTGCTCTAAGATGAAATGAACCGGAGTCTGATTCTGAATCAAAAGAATCATGTCGAGGTACCTGAGGCGCCCGTTTTGGCTCATCCGGCAACTTAGGCTGCAATAGAAAGATACCCATTTCAGTTCCCGTAGCATCAAACACAAACAAAACTCAAGAATTCGGATCCCCTCATGTGGAGGGAATTCTGTGCGCCCATCCTACATCACAAGTATCGTAATGCAACACCACAAAAAAATGATATAATGTAGTTGTTTCATAATGATATGAAGCTGTTACATAAGCGATATAAAGGTACAGGATAGAAACAACGGTACAAAAGAGGATCCTGGTTCAAAACTCAAGCCATAGAAAATGAAACCATACCTCGACTTTGGGCAATCTCGATAATCTATGATTATTAGAGGTCAAGCTTGATTCTGAATCCAAAGAACCAGCACGTGCAATCGGTTTGTCCTTATAAGCAACGGAACTTGATTCTGTATCCGAATAACCACCTCGTGACACCGGTTTGTGCTTATAAGCGGCCGTGTTTGATTCTACATCCATAGAACCAGCTCTTGCCACCGGTTTGTGGCTATAAGCAGCTGAGCTCGATTCTGAATCCACAGAACCAGCTCGTGACACTGGTTTGTGCTCCGGTTTGCGCTCTGGTTTGCTCTGTGGTGGCTCTGTCCTTGCCTCAATAACATCAACATCCCACAAAATCCAATCCATGTGCCTATAAGGAATGTCATGCGTTATAGAGTTTCTCATCGGAGGCAAACCCCCATTTGCTCGTAGATAGTTGCCGCCGACAGGCGATCTGAGCTTGACCTGAGGCCCATCTTTTATTGGCACCCAATCAACCGATGAGTTCAATTTTCTCGGCATAGTTTGCAGGACCTTTCGGCCTGTTACGCCGAGAAGGAACTCCTCGTCGCAGGCCGTGAGGTATTTGCCATAACAACTCCTCAAACGTATCACATTGTTGGAATTGACAAATTCGACTGCCCATTTCGCGTTCTTGATCGTGCCATGCCGGTCTTGGGTGACCGATTCTTGGTCGTCCTCAGCTACTAGGTACTTGCCATGGTGGCTCCGGAGTCTGACACTCTTGGCTTTGCGGAAGAAATCCATTCCACTCTGAAATCAAACCAACAAAAACAAATCAGATCATTAAATAATGTTGCAATGTAGCTGAAATATGTGTTTGGTGAACCAAATTAATCAAAACTACAAGCAATGCAAGCAAAATGAGGTATACGTGGTACGGGATAATGGCAATTATGATGATGAGATCAAGGTATAAGTTGATTTCAGAGAGAGAAGATAGAGAGATTTGCAGAGGTTGGGGGATTGGGACAAGAGGGAGGACGGTAGAGGTTGGTGTTTGATTTTTCGATTTTGGATTCAGTTGTAAACCAACGGTTGAAGTGACAAATTAAATGACGGTTGAGAACTACAACGTTATATGCGTTGCTGGATGTATCTCTAACATAGTAACATCACGAATTCAACGTTGTCGTTGTTTAGTCAGCCACACAGTCACAGGGGTCCCACTAGCTTGTCAATTCGAACTCTAAATTTGGACATTTTGAATTTGAGTCAAGACTTACAAATACATATAATATACTGAATTCTTATCTTAAAATAAATACTCAACTAATCACCTAAGATGAATGTTTAGTGAGTAGATTGGTTAAGACATTTTGCATGAATGATTTATTCAATGATTTAAAGTGGTTAAAGATACTTATTACAAGAGATGTTGACTTTGCTGTGATCATATCCATGTTTTGTTAAAATTGGACCTATTTAGCATGCGCGCATTTTATTTTTGGCTAAAATAAAAACAGTATTTTTGTTGTAAGAGTGTTTTGAAAAAAAATTCAAAGCACGTTTGAGAAAAAAATTTAGGCGTTTTATTTTTGCCTCGTGCTGTACTACCATTATGATTTTGGGCCATGAACAATTGTCAAAACAAAAAAAACAACATTGTAGTGTTTTGGTTTTGGGTCATGGTTCACTAAATGTTTTAGCATCGACTAAAATAAAACAAAATCGCCCCAAATATGCTTTTGTTGTCAAAATCAACACCATAACAGTCCAAAAAAAAAAAATACATCATAAACAAAATGCATGCTAAACGGAACCGTAATCTCTTGTACAACTTTGATCATTTACCAATGTTAGAATGCTAAAATAAAATGAGAAAAATGTAATATTATGTTTGAGAATATCAAATTAAAATTAAGTCTTCAAATTAATATAGGAAAGAAATTCAATTTAAACTATGAACTAAATTTTTTCTATTTTAAATGAAAGACTCCAATTTAGTGCTTTTAAATATAGCTAAATGTAAAGCAAATGTCAATTAGTAGTCTTACCGCCAAACAAGCTAGGTGTAGAAGTTTCAGTTGAAAAAAGTTACCTCACTTTCAGACACGTGTCCAGAGCTGCCGGAGACGATCAACGGCGAACCATTTATTGGAGAATCGGTATAATCATCAGCCAACGAAGAAAAACTGGACGACGGCGAAAAGCTGGAGGCGGGCGACATGTAAGTCGACACGGGCTCGGATTCGGATACTGTTATATCCACCACATCCACTCCCCACAAAACCCAGTCTTGAGTTGCAGTTCTATTCGGAACATCATGTGTTATGGAGTTTCTCCAAGGCGGTGTACCGCCATTAGCCCTCAAGAACTTCCCGTCTCGACTCAGAAGCTTCACTTTAAACCCTTCCTTTATAGGCTCCCATTCAATGGCGTTGTCCATTTTGGTAGCCGGATTTGTCTGGAGGACCTTTTTTCCAGTCCAGCCGAGGAGGAATGGCTCGTCGGTGGCGGTGAGGTACTTGCCATGGCAGCTCTTGAGGCGGATGGCATTGTTCTTTCCTTCTACGAACTCAACTGTCCACCGAGCATTACGTGAAGTGGCGCCATTCCGGCTTTGCCGGACGGTTTCTTCGTCGTCGTCGGCGAGTAGGTACTTGCCCAGGTGGCTTTGAAGTCTAACTGCTTTGGCTTTGTCAAAGAATTCCATACCATTCTGCATTGAGAAGCTGAAAGTAAATCAATTCATGCTTTGTTGGGTTGCATGAATTTAGTGACTTGAAGAAAACTTAGTTCATTTACGTCAATACTGTATAACAATTAATCAATTTTGAGCAAGATTGAAATTAGTTTGTTAAGAAGCAAATGTAAAAGCGAATAGGGGAATTATAGCATAGGATCGACTCTAAAAACATTATATTCCTTTTGTTACAAAAAAAAAAAAAAAAAAACAAAATTTGTTCATTTTTTTGTTCCAAAATAATAGTCAAAGTACTACTTTTTGTAATATTACCAATATAACACTTCTTGCATTGAACCTCTGAAAAATAAATCATCCGTGTGAAACATTATAAATACTTTGATAATTCCATCACAATCAATACAATAAAAAAAATATTAAAACTCATCATTTTAAAAAGCTAAGCTCTAAAACATGAATACATAATTTGAAACAAAGGGTGTACATATGGTCAACGCCCTTTGTACAATATGAGTTAAACTAGGACATAACTCTAAAATCATAATCCTAAGTGGAAAAAGCTAGTGAAAAAGATTTGAGTCCTGAAGCCTCGTTAAGCTTCAGGTCTCAAATTCGATACCTTTTAAGTGCGAATAATTTTTTGAGATCACAATTACGAATATAGTGAATTTTACTCAATTCGTGTGAGTAATTAGTTGTGACAAAATCTTGACTGTCCCTATTATCGAAATAAAAAAAACTCTAAAATGATATATAAAAACCTTAGTAAAATTAAGTTTGTAGTATAACAATGTGACACCTCTTTTTATAAAACACTGCTTTCCATGTCAAGATATGCATCAGATCAACTAAACTCAAAAAAACACGCTACATTTCTATATGAATTACTTTATCACATTTCAACACTTATATATATATATATATATATATATATATATATTCACACGCAAGGGTCCGCAGCCAAGTTGTGTCTGTCGACTTGGTCAAAGTTTGGTTAAGCTCATTTCTTTATTCATAACTCTATTATGCACACGAAATCTCATTCCTTATCATATTGCCAATTTTCATCTTATAAATTTTTTTTAAATAAAAGTAAAAATTTGATGTGAACACTATAGTCTTTATGAAATAAGAAGAAGAATGATAATGATTGTGAACGGAAAATACCTGTCTTCCCGATGAATGTTTGGACGCACCGGAGTCCATGGACGGTGATCGGGTGTTAAAACCTGCAACATCATCCAGCGCCGATGAAAAGCTCAACGCCGGCGTCCACGGACAAGACAACGAGTCTTGACTCGACAGCGAGTCATATGAGTCCAACGTAGATATTTCTACCATTTCCACTTCCCACAAAACCCAATCTTGCGTTGCAGTTGTGTAAGGAACATCATGAGTGACCGAGTTTCTCCAAGGTGGTGTCCCCCAGTTGGCGCGCAAGAACTTCCCCCCTCCTTTCGTCCTCAGCTTCACAAGTGACCCTTCCTTTATAGGCTCCCATTCAATTGAACCATCCTTCATCGTCGCCGGAGTAGTCTGGAGCACCTTCTTTCCGGTCCATCCGAGAAGGAAGTCCTCGTCGGAGGCCGTGAGGTACTTCCCATGGCAGCTCTTGAGGCGGATGACGTGGCTCTTCCCCTCAACGATCTCCACCGTCCATCTGGCTTTGTGTGTGGAGCTATTCCGGCTCTGCCGGACGGTTTCTTCGTCCTCGTCGGCAACTAGATACTTGTCGAGATGGCTTCGGAGTCGAACAGCTTTGGCTTTGTTAAAGAATTCCATGCTTGAAAGGCCTAAATTTGTTGGGTTGTTAATGTTTTTTCTCAATTGGTTTTGCTTGATTTAAAGGACTTGAGTACATGGGTTGACTACATATGAAGCTTCTTAGATGCATGTGCTTAATTGTTGACTTTAATTTGAGACTAAAGTTGATTATGTGCAAGTTGGATAGTTTGATTTGGCAATTAAGAGGAATGATTTTTCCAATTAAGTGAACTAACTCAATGTGGGTTCACTTTAAATATATAATTAACTCATTCAACGTATCAAGTTGACGACTGGGACTCTTCATTACACGGTTCATTGTATACCATTTCAAGTGAAATATACACCTGTTTGGAAGTATTCCTGATCCCATTGAAAACGAGTGGGTCCAATAATTCAATGAGATAGTTGTTGAATCATACACATAGTTTTATTGAGGTAATTATCTTGACTGAGTTAATAGTCTCTCCTGCGAGTCTCCAAATCAATGACTATGAAAGTAACATAATGGAACTAGGATGACATTGGATTCTTTTCTATCAGGTGCCTTTAGATCACAAAAACAATAATTTCACGGTTATTAGCACAATAATTTTGTTTCATAGAATCATAATGTTACGTATGGTGATATAATTGTTACATTGTGATGCAATGTTTAATAATTGAAATATACTATACCCGATTGTCGTGTTAGTTGGGGAGTTATAAATTTTAATATATTTTTTAATTTTTCTTACTCCTAACGTATTTAAAATATTAAGATAACTTCTATTTGTGATGCCCACTTATGATACCCCCGTTATAAAGTAGGTAGGTTGTGTGACCATTGCTAATTTAGTAAACAAGTGTGAACACGAATCATCTACTTCTATCATCTTTAGTTTGAGCTCATCCAATTCTATCGGTTTTTCCAACATGATTGCGTGACATTAAAGTTAGTTGTTACACGGTGGTACTATGATGTACAGAACATTAATGTCACATGCCTGCATTGATATGAAGCTTCCAATTGAACTATATTTGAATTATAGTATTATCTAAATATTTTTTTTTTAATGAATAGTGATACTTACACCGAAAATTTGTAGTTAAATTGTCTAATCAAATAATTTTTAATGAACTACTTATACCAGATACAACTAAGTAGAAATCTCCACTTTCTTATTTGTTGCATAAATTAAAATAATAAGTCTAGCAATTCACTGCAATTATTCGGTATAAAAGTCATTTCCTTTTCTAATTGATGCATGTATGAAATCAATAACAAGTCGTATTTGATTATTTCTTTTTAGGGAGGCGCAATCATACGTTCCATGTATACCGAAAAATTTAAAATAAAAAAAATTACCAAATCAATGGCTATGAAAGTAACATAATGGTACTAGGATGACACTCGAATTCTTTTCTGTGCCTTTACATCACAAAAGCAACAGTTTTACGATTACTACCACAATAATTTTATTCTTTAGAATCTTAAAATTACGTTTCGTGATATAATCGTGCATTGTGATGCAATGTGTTACATTATTAATTCTGTTTAAGAATTAAAATATACTACCCGATAGTCATCGTGTGAGTTGGGAAGTTCTAAATTTGACTACGTTTTTTAATTTTTCTTACTCCTAACGATTTAAAATATTAAGATGGCTTCTATTTGTGACGCCCACTTATAATACCCCCATTATAAAGTAGATTGTGTGACCGTTACTAATTTAGTAAACAACAAGTGTGAACACAAGTCACTTCTTCAATCATCTTTAGTTGAGCTTATCCAATTCCATCGGTCTTTCCAACAGTTGTTACGTGGTAGTACTATGATGTAAAGAACACTAATGTCACGGGCCTACATTGATATGGACCTTCCAATTGAACCATATTAGAATTACAATGCTATCTCAATCTATTTTTCTAATTGATGTTTTTATGAAATCAATAGCAGGTCTTGATTACTTCATCCGTTCTAATTTAAGTGTCATTTATTAAGAATAGTAATTTTTAAGAAAATATATGAGAGATATATTGTCTGACTAAAAATTTATTAATTTGTTCTTTTAAGTTTTGAATATTCAAGTTTAAAATTTTAAACTCAAAAGACATATTTAGAAAGATGTAAAATATATTATTTGAAAAGAGAAAGTGGACATTTATTTTGAAAAAAAAAAAAAAAAAAAAAACATGACACTTATTTTAAGAGAGAGAGAGGGAGTATTTTTTTTAGGGACTCGAAATCTCTTGTTCCACGTATATCGAAATCTTTTGATAAATACGTATGAATCCAACTTTCAATTCATCAACAGTTGAGTTCTTGTTTGTTAGTATGTCATTTCTCATAAATGAGACATTTAGTTCGTTTATAACTTTAAAAACAATTATCAAGAATTCATAAAATATGAGTCTATTTGGTTTGTAACTCTATAAACAGACCTCCATAACTCATAAAATATAAAACTATTCTAACATAATAATTTTTTAGAGTTATCTAAAAACAGACATTTTTATGATTGAGTTTTCAGAAAAATGAACTAAACAAAAGTTTTTTTTTTTTTTTTTTGGTACAATTTTCTCTTTTCAAATTTATAAAAATAAAAAATTATTTTCATAATTACAAACCAAACAGATCTTATTTTTTTCGAAATTCATATTTCTTTTGACCATTACTTTCCTTTAACATTTCAATTTAGAAGGCCCTAGGATTGAGACTTTGAGCTCAGCTAGGCCCAACCTTAATTATGAATGCAACTTCTTTGAAATTGGGCCAGAATGATCATACAAACCAAGACTAGTTTTGTCGGTAATCAAATCCTTCAATGCCAAGGAAGACGTCCCAGTAATTACTTCCAAGGAATTCTTAGCCTTTTGCACCTTTCTGTATATTCCAACACTTTGAATCCCAAAAATTCTTTTTATTTGATAATTTTTAGTGTTTGTGGATCATCTTTTTCTTCTAGACGAAAATCAAATGGAGTTTCTAGAACTGTTTTTGTTCAAAGAGACAAAAAGTTTTAGAATTGTATTTATTGAAAAGTATTATAGATATACATTAAGATTATATTTGGTACAGTGAAAAAAAACAAAAACAAAAACAAAAAAAGAGGGAAAGAAAAAAAATACAAAACAAAAAAAATGATATTGTTAATCACTTGTTGTGTTTGATTCATTAGTAAAGAAAAAAAATGAAATTATGGAAATCATGTTTTTAGAAGGAAAATAAAAACTATTTTAATACATTTACTATCAATATCATTTTTCATAGACACTGTCTTTTATAAAAGTAAGGGCAAATTCGATATTAACAAAGTTTCATAAAAAATATTAGTATTTTTTTTTGCCTTTCCTTCCATTTTTTTCCCATTGCCTAATTTGTATACTTTCAAACCCCTACATTTTCTTTCTTTTCCTTTAAAAAACTATACCAATTAAACATACTATTTCATTTCCTTCCGTTTCCTCTCATATTTTGGGGCATTACAAAATTTACATTTCATACCTAATTTGTATCCTTTCAAATCCCTTCGTTCTTCATTACCACGTTTTTTTTTTCCCTTCTTTACCCTCCAACCAAACTAGACCTGTTGACCCTAAAATCGACTCCTAAGATCCGATCTTAATTTGATGTGTTGCGGGCGTGCCAGAACCAAATATATGGTTCAAATGTGATTTGTCAACTTGCAGTCTCTTTTGAAAGGTTAACTTTCAGGCGATTACAGGAGGAAGAGAACAAGTATACTCCTTGATGAGTTCTAATTGCCTTAGTTAAAAGGACTTTATAGTGAATAATTTATAGTAAATAATGATAGAATAGAAATGGGAGAGAAATAGATATAGAAAGTGACAGGGAGAAGAGATAGAGAGACAGAGATATAGCAAGGATGCTATTTGGGGAAAGTGGTTGAGAAAGTAAACAAATAAATATAATGATTCTGAGGGTGCTGAACCTCTTGCACAGCGTGCCTCTCTGTTTATTTATACAATAAATGGTAAAATAAATTCCTAAATACAAACATCTAGTTATATTATAATACAACCACATAATTATTCAAATTAAACTAATCCTAACTAAATACTAATTCAAAAATCAAGTAAACACATAAATCCTATCTAACATAAAGTTTAAAAACTTTCTATCCATGTAGCATCCTTGCATATAGCGTTATTTTGTATGAAAGCTGCCACGTCACTGTTCATGTATAGCACTAATAGATTTTATTCCAACTAAAATGCTATTCCAAACCACCTTCAATCCAATCACCTTCCATAACCCAAATATCCTTCTCGGCCCAAACTCCTAACACATCATCACTGACCAGGCTTTATGTTCTTGACCCATATTACCATATCATTGATAACCAAGTCTAATGGAAGCCTAAACCCAATTACCAAAATGGGTGTCAACAAGACCTAAGTTTTGGTCACATCTAGTTTCAATCTAAGTCACATAGAACAAGAACAAGAGCGAAAGTAAATTTGAAAGCTGAGCCACTACAACAGATTAGGTTTTTGTCGGTGTTCTTTAAAGGCGCTGGTGACTGGTGTAGGTTAGGTGTATATTTTAGCCGGCGTTTGCTAAAGAAATGCTACTATCTTAAAGCATCTCCAATGCTCTTTAATTTTGAGCTTTCAAACTCATAATTTGAGAGATGTATAGAAAAAGTTACTCCAATGACCTTTCATTTGGTCCCCCCCACACACACAATAATATATGAATTTCCGAAAAAGAAAAAAAAAATTATATAACAATATAATCAAATATATAAATTTATACATATATATATATATATTTTGGTCCTTTTTAATCAGATATTTTAGATTTTTGTTTCTTTTTAATTAGGTTTAATTTTAGTTTTCTTTTGATGTCTATAACTTGACTTGGAATGTACCTAATATTAATATTATTGGTACAAATATGAATAGGGAGAATGATAATTAAAAAAAAATGATAGTTGTGTCAAAAATAGTATTTTACATTAAATGCACTATAAGAACAAAATTACTAAAATATAACATTTTGACATTATATTCATTTGACAACTAAAAATAGCTTCCAGCACCCGAGATGCTCTAAGTGCGAAATTTAGGACGCCAAACTTTAGCTAGTTTGTTTCTAAATTTACCAATCTCGTCGAGCCCTAGGATTCTCTTCAGCCTCCCCAATCGCCTCCATCTCTATTCTCGGTCTCAACTCTGAACTTGCCCCCCTCTCTCTCTCTGCAACTCCCCATTCGCGTCAATCTCTATTCTCGTTCTCAACACTGAAGTTCCCCCCCCTCTCTCTCTGCAACTCCCTAATCGCCTCCATCTCAATTCTCTTTTCTCAACTCTGAACTTACCCCCCTCTCTCTCTGCAACTGCTAACTAGAAAATCTACTAGAATCAGAAGTTGAAAACCCATATATTTCAGTTTATCTATCTGTCTGCAAGAATCAAAAGTTCAAAACCTATTACCTAATCAAAACCCATATCTGATATGCCAGATTGTTTAAAAAATCAAAACCCATATCTTTCAGTTTCCATCGCCCGCTGTTTCAGTTCGCGTTCGCCGTTCGTAAGCTTCAGCCGCTGTGTGTTTTTGTGTATTGATCTGTTGATTAATCGATTCCTGATTTTTTGGAGGAAAGTCGGAGGAAAGAGAGAAGGATGTGGTGGAAGTGATGATGGTAGGCAGCAGGGCGAGTTAGGGTTTGTGAATGGGAAGGACAGGAGGTTCTTTATTTATCTTTTCATTCTCTGACATACAATGTTGTTTTGATTCTGATTAATATTTTTTTCTTCATTTTTGGGGCTTTGATTGCAGTCGTCGACTGTTGTTGAAATTCCTAGACCAACATTGTATGTCAGAGAATGAAAAGATCAACAAGTTTAAGTCTCATGCAGAAACTGAAGAACAGACTGTGTCAGCTTTTGACTTCTTGTATCTTCCAATGGATTTCAAGTATGTTATTCCTTGCTCTAGCAGTTCAGCCATGAAGTCGGGAGTAGGCGATCTTCATATGCTCTCTCTCTCTTTGGTACTCTCTCTCTATTAAATCTACAGGGTAATTCAATCTCTATCTTAATTGCTTTTGATTTCTAGGTTTGGTTTGGGTGTTCCATTTTGATTGTGCTTGATTTACTTTTCAAGTTCTATTTTTTATTTAATTTCTTGATGATAGAGTAAACGGTTTTCAATTTAGAGGGGTTTCGTTTCACTTGCTTTTTACTGTAACTGTTCGTGTAGCTGTTTGTGTTTTTTTTTTTTTTTTGAAATCCAACATTTCTTGTTTCAAATGATGTCATAGTTTTAAGTTTGGACTAGGAAAATATTATGGGAGCTCAATCAGAAAAATGACTTCTGTTTGCTAGAGACATTTTATTGTCAAATATATATATTTGCATTTATTAATTTAGTATTGATTGCACTAATATATAAATCACTGGCTTTGGTCTGTCCATAATAATGTTTTCAATTTAAAAAGAAAAAGAAAAAAAAAAAAAAGTGGATATGGGCTGTAATTTTTGATAACATTCTTCCTGATCCAAGTTTAGGAAAATTGAACCCTTCCTCCACAATAAATGGGTGCCTTTCAGTTATCCTTTTTCCTTAATCGCTTTGTCATTTGATGCCGCTCCTCCATATTTTCAATGTTGAAAAAGAAAAATCGTTTCTTTTTTATAGTAGGAGAGCTTTAGAGCTTTGGAGCTTTGTACAGTATAAAGCTGGAAGAACATAATATTTAGTCTTTTATAGATAACTTTCTTGAAGTGAATGTTTGAACTCCACCTTTTATATTATTTGACAGATCACAGAAAGGAGAATGTGTACAGGTTTATTGGACTTATTAAACTTGTTAGAACAAATGAACAAATACATGGGTAAATTGTATGTATATATAGTTGTTTTGGATTTTAAGGAACTGTCATGGGTGAGTTATCAGGTAAGGTAACATAACTAACCTACATGAAAGTGTTAAAACTCTCATTGCTTTTCCTTTTTCTTTGGGAGTTGAATATGAATTTTGCCATCCTTGCTTGCAAATTCAGTTTTATCTATTGATTATGGATATTCAGCATGAAAGAGAGAAGCTTTAAGCTTACAAGGCTGGATGAACATTCTAGGTGTAGTTGGTTGCCTTTTTCTCCTTCAATCTACTAACATCCAAAAGTGTGACTGGCAGAGAATATTTGCCATGGAAGTTAGCAAAAAGATTTGGTATGGCTTGAGAGGGTAGCTTCCTTTGAAGAGAAGAGGTTAGTAGACGTTCTGAAATTTTATATACTACTAAAAGCTTTTGTATCTTTGTTGACTTCATCTATCACTTGCTCAGATGCTTCAATGGTGTGTATGTGACTATTATCAAAGCCCTGCTCTATCTGTCATAGTGATATAATTTTTATGTTTTTTTTTTTTTTTCTTTAATTCTTTTTTTTTTTTTCACTGTCAGTCTATTTTGGGTTCCTTCTCAAGTCTTGCTTTGGTTGTCTTTGTTCTTTTTGTTTTTCATTTTTGTTCCTCTTTTTCTCTATACCCAACTTGAGCTTTCCTATCTGTCAAGCATATTCTTTAATTTCTTTTGTTATATAGTATTACAAAAGGAACTATATAACAAAAGGAATGAAGAAAGAAAGCTTAGTATTGTTTCTGACAATGGCATTAAGTTATGATATGTTAGGCATGTTAAGTTGGACCTTTGTTGCAAATTACTATACACAAATGTTGAATCAATGCTTGGGAGTTCCGTCATCCAGGCAAGAAAATGTGAACTGGACCTTTGATGATGTGATATGGATAGTCCGGTGTGTCCACATGTTATGTAGAGAGGGTTCGTTCACAATGGTAGTCATTTCCATGTAAAGTTGTGGAATTAACATGGGGTTCATTGCAAGACAAAAAAATAGTTCCAAGGCGAAGTTGTTTCAGGAATTTTTATTTATTTTCTTATTATTTTCCTCACAAATTAATTGTAGGAGGAAATATTCAAAGAGATGACAAAGATGAGGAAGGAAACTCATCATCTTGAGTTAAGTCTGCAATGCTACAAGGGCGATCTGAGTTCTGTGAGGTATAAATCCGGATGAACAACAGCTAGAAGTCACTCAACAGGGTTCAAGCTCGAAAGGTACATTTTTTTAAATTATTTGTTTCTCTCATTCATTGTTTTCACATTTTAATTAAGCTTTCTGTACCTCCATTTTAGACTTTTAGCACCAATCCTAAATTTAATTATTGATTAGTATCATGTATGTCATTCAAACATGTATAAACATGTATAAATGCATCAATAATTTCTGAAGTTCTGTTTGTAATTTCAGTTTGGTGTTAACTTGTTGACTGTTGCTATATGGTTTACCTTGCTCGCTCAATCCTTAATTCTTTTTTACTTTTTTCGAGTGTGTTGATATTTTCATTGTGGTATATGAACAACAACTATTCATATATTACATGTTATCAAACAAGCTGCCACAAAAATATTTTATAACAGGATAATATATAGTCATCTCATGTTATTCAGAGTTTCAAATCAATATTTTATGCTTTTGAAGTTATGCCAAACGAGGCCTTAGTTACTTCAATATTTATCAAGTGTAACATAATCACAAGCACATAACTTGGTTGGCTCACATGGGTATCTTACTGCATAGTCCTTGAGCTTGAAAAACCCTGTTACCGGTGGGGGCTCAATCATTGAAAAAGCTTTTTTTCTTGTATCCGCTCATTGTCTCAACTCTCATATTACTTCATTTACAAATTTTCCCTCATAAATCTTATATTAAATCTCACACCTTTTTCGAATGAATTATACCACTTTTCTCATGACTTAGATAAACAGTTTGGCCAAACATCGCCTCTCCTTTTAAACCATTGTTCTTTTTTATTGTTTAATTTTGATGGCAGAAAATCAAATTGGATGAACTATAGTGCCTAGTTGGATATAGAAGAGATGTGAATGAATGCGTTAGTCCATCACACTGCTACTGGGTTTTTATGATTAGTTCGTTTTCGTTTGAGGGGCTTCTCTGACAATAATAAGAAACTGTTTTCTTTACACACACATATATATATAAAATAAAATAATAAAAAAAATGACCTTCATATACATATTGTTTCCACCTTGCTAAACAAAGCATAAAATCATGATTATCTTGAGACTGTTAGTTCTTTTAACGATTTTACATGGTAAACTTTTTAAATATCTTGATAAATAGAGAATTAACTAACAATACAAGTACTTTGCTATTAAGTAGTTGATGAGCAATCATGTTCAGAAGCAACAAGCTGCAGAGGTGGAGATTCATCAGCACGCGATGACAGAACTGAAGCTAGTGGGACAGCAGCAGCAGCAAGTGTTGGATCAGTTTCACTTCTATGGAGAAGAGAAGCAGCCCGGTGGTGTGCTTCAGCTGCAACCTGAAAACCTCCCTTTTCAGCTCTGCCCGTATTGTACATAGCTCATGCCTATTTACTTGTTGGGATTCTTGAATTGGTTATGTTATTGGCTGTTTTTTATTTATTTCAAAGATGGGCCAGAGGCAGTTGCAAAATCTACTCATTTGTTCCTTTTTTTTTTAGTTTCTTCCGGTTTCTCTTCCTCCTTTTTTAGGGAGTGATGCAACTTTGTTGAATGTATAATAAAGATATTTTCTCATGGGATCCCTGTTGGAATCAAATAAAGATTTCTGCTATATGTTTATGAGCTGTGTGTGTGTATACCTAACCACTTTGTAGATCGTGTTTCAAAAAAAAAAAAAATGAGTAATCAAAATGCTGGTAAATGCGTATAATAAAGAAGTTTCAGTTAAAAAAAAGGTTCCTGACTTTCAGGCACATGTCCAGAGCTGCCGGAGACGATCAACGGCGAACCATTTATCGGAGAATCGGTATAATCATCAGCCAACGGTGAAAAGCTGGACGACATGTAAGTCGACACGGGCTCGGATTCGGATACTGATATATCCACCACATCCACTCCCCACAAAACCCAGTCTTGAGTTGCAGTTCTATTCGGAACATCATGTGTTATGGAGTTTCTCCAAGGCGGTGTACCGCCATTAGCCCTCAAGAACTTCCCGTCTCGACTTCGAAGCTTCACTTTAAACCCTTCCTTTATAGGCTCCCATTCGATGGCATTGTTCATTTTTGTCGCCGGAATTGTTTGGAGGACTTTTTTCCCGGTCAAGCCGAGAAGGAATGGCTCGTCGGTGGCGGTGAGGTACTTGCCATGGCAGCTCTTGAGGCGGATGGCATTGTTCTTTCCTTCTATGAACTCGACTGTCCACCGAGCATTACGTGAAGTGGCGCCATTCCGGCTTTGCCGGACGGTTTCTTCGTCCTCGTTGGCGAGTAGGTACTTGCCCAAGTGGCTTTGAAGTTTAACTGCTTTGGCTTTGTCAAAGAATTCCATACCATTCTGCATTGAGAAACTAGAAGTAAATCAATTCATGCTTTGTTTGGTGGTTTGAAATTAGTGTTTTGAAATTGAAATGAAAAAATATGAATCAATCATTTTGCTTTCAATAATTATATATTTGAAGATGGATACCACTTTAAACAATCTACACTATAAAGAATTGAAATTATTATGTTGAAAAGTGTACGAGTCGTCTTGGTGAAGGGCATAGGTCGACTCAGCTCCCACGTCCTAGGAGAAATACCCACCACCAGGAGCCGCAATTGACTTCCACTAGAACTTTTTTTTAATATTATATACCATTAATTTTTTTATTTTTAATTATATACCTATAAAAATTTGACTTTGCCCTCTTAAAATTACAAAAAAAATAAAATAATAAAAAAATACACTAAATTCACTTTTGCTCCCCACCCACAATTTCCTGAATCTGTCCTGCCCACCACCATGCTACCTTGGCCTTCTCAATTCAGTGGTCAACGTCTTTGTGCAACATGGTTAATCTATGCCATTACTCTAAAATCATATAGAAAACCAAGTAAAATTAAGTTTTTGGTATAACAATTTAGTGACCCCTCTTTTTAGAACACTGCTTTCCTTGATTTGCATCAGATCCACTAAAAAAAAAAAAAAAATCACGCTACATTTCTATATGACTGTGTGTGCGTGTGTGTCTATATATATATATGTGCCCGCCAGAGTTCGCGGCCATTTGTGGCTATTGACTTGGTCCCATTTGGACCAAAGTTTGGTTAAGCTCATTTCTTTATTCATAACTATTATGCACACGAAATCTCATTTCTTATTTTATTGCCAACTTTAAAATAAAAAATACGGAGTAAAAGAGAATTCACGATTCTATTAATGATAATGATCGTGAACGGAAAATACCTGTCTTCCCGATGCATGTTTGGACGCACCGCAGTCCATGGACGGTGATCGGGTGTTAATACCTGCAACATCATCAAGCGCGGATGAAAAGCTCAACGCCGGCGACACACAACTCGACAATGACTCATGACTGGACAGCGAGTCATATGAGTTCAACGTAGACATTTCTACCATTTCCACCTCCCACAAAACCCAATCTTGCGTTGCAGTTGTGTAAGGAACGTCATGAGTGACCGAGTTTCTCCAAGGTGGTGTCCCCCAGTTTGCGCGCAAGAACTTCCCCCCTCCTTTCGTCCTCAGCTTCACCAGTGACCCTTCCTTGATAGGCTCCCATTCAATTGAACCATCCTTCATCGTCGCCGGAATAGTCTGGAGCACCTTCTTTCCAGTCCATCCTAGAAGGAAGTCCTCGTCTAAGGCGGTGAGATACTTCCCATTGCAGCTCTTGAGGCGGATGACGTGGCTCTTCCCCTCAACCATCTCCACCGTCCATCTGGCTTTGTGTGTGGAGCTATTCCGGCTCTGCCGGACGGTTTCTTCGTCCTCGTCGGCCACTAGATACTTGTCGAGATGGCTTCGGAGTCGAACAGCTTTGGCTTTGTTGAAGAATTCCATGCTTGAAAGGCCTAAATTGTTGCGGTGTTGATGTTTTTTTCTCAATTGGTTTTGTTTGATATAAAGGACTCGAGTACATGGGTTGATTACATATGAAGCTTCTTAGATATGTTTAATTGTTGACTTTAGTTTGAGACTTTTATTATGTGCAAGTTGGATATTTTGATTTGGCAATTAAGAGGGTTAAAGTCCAATTTTGGTGCAAGTTGGACATTTTGATTTGGCAATTAAGATTTGACCAATTTAGTTAACTAACTCAATGTTGAAAGAGTTAAAATTCCATAATTTCTAAAAAAATAAAAACTTGAAAAAACATTGTTTATTCTTAGAAGGTATCACTTTTGGACACATAAATATCACTTTTTATATAAGAAAGTACCACTTTTTGTGTTACACAAAAAAATGGTATTTGATACACAAAAAAGTAATATCTCTATAGTTAAAACAAAAATAGTACTTGATGTATAAAAAGTGGTATTTCGGTGCACAAAAAGTGGTTATCTATATACCTAAAAGTGACACTTCAACGAGGGTAAACAGTATTTTTTTCATGTTCACGTTAGCATTTTGGTCAACTTTATTTTTTTAAAATTATAAGAGTTTGACTACATTAAATGATAACTATGAGTCGTTAACAATTGTTATTTGTGATAATCCCTTTAAAAAATATTGAGATAGCTTCTACTTGTAATGCCCACTTATAATACCCCCATTACTAATTTAGTAAACAAGAAGTGTTAACACAAGTCATCTTCTTCTATCAACTTTAGTTGAGCTCATCCAATTCTATCGGTTTTTCCAGCAGGACCGTTAGTTTTTTTTTTTTTTTTTTGGAAAGTGCAGGACCGTTAGTTGTTACGTGGTAGTTCTATGATGTACAGAACACTAATGTCGCGGGCTTGCATGCTTCCAATTGAACCATATTAGAATTACAATGCCATCTGAATCTATTTTTCTAATTGATGTATGAAATCAATAAGAAGTCGTATTTGATTATTTCTTTTTAGGGACGCGTAATTTCTCGTCCCACGTGTATCGGAAAATTATATATATATAAAAATTTTTCTAACAAATATGTATAGATTTAATTTTCAATTCATCAACAATTGAGTTCTTGTTTGTTAGTCTATCATTTCTCATAAATGAAACATTTAGCTCGTTTGTAATTTAAAAAAAAAAGTTCTTAAGAACCCAAAAAAAAAAAAAAAAAAAAATTAGAGAATAATCATTTATAATTATCTGAAAATGAGTTTGTTTAGTTTGTAACTCTATAAACAGTTCTCTATAATTAAAAATAAATAAAACTATTCTAACATAACAATCTTTTATAGTTATCTAAAAACAGACATTTTTATAATTTTATTTTAAAAAAACTGAACCAAACAAGTTTTATTTTTATTTTATTTTTTATACTTTTATGATTTCAATTTTCAAAGAACAAATAGACCTTACTTTCTTTTGTCCATTACTTTCCTTTTACAATTCATATTTCTTTTGTCCATTACTTTCTTTTCACATTTCAATTTAGAAGCTTGCGATATTATTGCCCGATGTTACGGTGTATGTGTTTTTATTTTTTTTATTTTTTGTAAACTTGAAAAAAACAATCATACGGCATCTACACGGACAAGATAAGGAACCACCGATAAACTAAAGAAAACGCTAGTAGCGCTAAAAGACGTAAAACCCTCTAAAACAGGACTAACACCCAGCAAAGTTATTAAAAACCTAAAGCTTTGAAGGGTATTGGTGTCACGGTGTATATGATGACACAAGGCCGTAGGTTTGAGACTTTGAGCTCAGCTAGGCCCAACCTTAATTGGTTTTGTTTGAGTTAAAGGACTCGAGTACATGGGTTGACTACATATGAAGCTTCTTAGATGTGTTTAATTGTTGACCTTTAATTTGAGACTAAGGTTGATTATGTGCAAGTTGGATTTTTTGATTTGGAAATTAAGAGTAACTCAACGTGGGTTCACTTTAAATATATTATTAACTCATTCAACGTATCAACTATAATTTCAATGTGGGTTCACTTTAAATATATTAAGCAAAAAAATTTTTTTTTTGGGTACAATTATCTGTTTTCAACTTTATGAGAACAAAAAATTATTTTCATAATTACAAATTTGAAATTCATATTTCTCTTCTCCGTTACTTTCCTTTCACACTTCAATTTAGAAGGCCCTAGGATTGAGACTTTGAGCTCACCTTAATTATGAATGCAACTTCTTTGAAATTGGACCAGACTGATGATACAAACAACGACTAGTTTTGTCCGTAATCAAAATACTTCTATGCCAAGGAAGACGTCCCAGTAATTACTTCCCTCTGTATATTCCAACACTTTGAATCCCAAAATTTCTTTTAATTTGATAATTTTTAGTGTTTGTGGATCATCTTTTTCTTCTAGACAAAAATCAAATGGAGTTTCTAGAATTGTTTTTGTTCATAGAGATAAAAAGTTTGTAGAATTGTATTTATTGAAAAGTATTATAGACATAGATTAAGGTTATGTTTGGTACAATGGAAAAGAAAAAATAAAAAATAAATAAATAAATAAATAAAAGAAAAGAAAGAGAGAAGATATTGTTAATCACTCGTGTGATTCATTAATAAAGGAAAAGAAATGAAATTATAGTAATCTTGTTTTTAGAAGAAAAAAGAAAAAGAAAAAAGAAATGAAACTATTTAAATAGATGTACTATTATTACCCTTTTTCATAGACTTTGTCTTTTATAAAAGTAAGGGCAAATTTGGTATTAATAAAATTTCATTTAAAATGTTAGCATTTTTTTTTCCCCTTTCCACCCATTTTTTCGGAGAATTACAAAACAAACATTTCATGCCTAATTTGTATCCTTAAGAACCCTTCGTATTTTTTTTTTCACCTTTGCTCCCATTTTTTTGGAAGATTACAAAACAAACATTTCATGCCTAATTTGTATCCTTCCGAACCCTTCCGTTTCCTTTAAAAAAAATATACCAAACATACTTTTTTATTTCCTTCCATTTCCTCCTATTTTGTGGTTGATTACAAAATTAACATTTCATGCCTAGCTAATTTATATCCTTCCGAACTCGTTACATTTAGTTTCAGCCTAAATCACATAGAGCGAGAACAAGGGCGAGAGCGCGAAAACAACAAAATTTAAATCATACAAAATGAGAACGGGAGTAAGAGTGTGAGCGGAATGTAAGAGCGAAAACACGCTTCGAGTACGAGAGTGACACTTATTGAAAAAGATTGTGTAACTTAGGTTTCAACAATGTCATTAAGGACAAGAAATTATTAGTTAGTACTAAACTATTGCTCTTTGATGTATCAGTTCAATTCAAACTTTTCGATTAAGAAAATTGTCCCACAACAGTGTAGTAATATATTACATAGAAATTTTAGCATTTGTTTTTATTGAATTAGTACATCAAATATTAAATGGTTTAAAACTATCTAACAATTTTTCTACCAAAGACTTCTCATTTTCCTTAATAGTAAAAACTGATAATTTATTATTGAGCGGGGTACTTATATTATCGATTCCTCAAAGTATGGTAACAGTAGAAATGGTCGATCGAGGACAAGTGATTGTTGTAATAAATTGTAAACATTAGCATGACCTTGTATGACAAACCCTCATTATGACTTTTTTTTTTTTTATTCCTAAAACTCCATATTTGGATATATAATCCTTCAAATTTAAAGAGTCTGTATATCATCATTTTTTCAAAAATTGTTCTCATTCTTCAAAATGCACCAAATTAACCTCATTTCGCAAAGCACTGTCATAAAAGGACCAATCAATGTGTCACTTTAAAAATATAAGGGTGAAGTGCCCTGAACCCCCCTCCCTGAAGTATGACCAGATTACAATAAAACTCCCTAAAGTATGACTTTGTTGCACCCACTAACCATCCGTCAGTAGCCGTTAATGGAAAAAGAAAATGACCATTTAACCCTTACTTTGATGGCGTCGTTTGAACGATTTTTGGGTGTTAATAAGCTGTTGTGGGTAGTAGAACCAATAAACATGCGACACCTAACCACCTAACCTATCAATAAGATCGTGTGTATCAAAACAGTGCCAAACAATGCCCAGCAACATCAAAATGGCGCCAAACAATGCCCAGTAACAATGACCAAAACAATGTCCCATCCCAATCAACAAGGTATAGACAAAAGCCTAAGCTGGCGGTAGGAGTTCTGTTTTCTCTCAGTTTGTTGAAGACAGCATCAATACGAACAGTAAAACTTGTTTTGGTCTGTAAATAAATCCCTTTGGTTTATTAAGGATAGAACGAGCAATGCAAGGATCGGCGTTGTGCACGGGACCGCCGTGACTAACTGCAACCTATGTGCTCCGTGATAACAGTATGCTTTAATGGATGATGCTGAAATACAAGGAACAACGACCAAGGAACAACCGATGAAAGGTGGGTCTGTTCTGCTGCGGTAGTGACAGAGGTGCATGGCGACGGCGAGCTTACCGGCGAACACAATGACTGTTAGCAATGGCGGCGCTGAACCACAAGGGCAGACGACAGTGAGTTGAACTGAAACGGCGGCCTACAAGCAAGGATGAACCCACAGGACGGCGACGATTGTTCTTTAACGATGGTCGCGGATCAGAATGGTGACGGTAACGACTATAGGAGTCACGAAGCTTCAATGAAGTACGGCAATGGTGGCGATGAACTTGGAAGATGCTGGTGAGCTTACCGATGAGCAATGGAATGGAATGGAACTGAACTGGACATGAAGATTTGAGAGCGAGTCACCTGAATATGGAGATTTGAGAGCAAATCAGAAGGAAATGAGAAGGATTTGCTGAAAATCAGTGGCGAACTGAAAATTATGGCTTCGAATTTGGGGGTTCTCTGTACAATGCGATATGATAAATATATATATATATATATTGTTTTTAACAGTCATAAGGGTATATATGGCAATATTTATTTTGACCAAAGCACATGGGTCACGTGCCTGCTCCTACCGTTAATTCCCAACTAACTAACAGAGTTTGAATTTTTGCAACAAATAGAATACTTTAGAGGGTTAAGTGTAGTCCTTAAAGTTTATGGGGGTGTTTATTAAAAAAGAGAAAAAATTTAAGGAGGTTTAATGCAC